TCACCTTGCTCGACAAATTAGGAATATTCAGCTACTATTAATTAGTATTTAATGATTGGTATAATAACTGTAGAAAAAATGTGGACAGGACGGATAAATTAGAAACTATGCACATTTTTGATAATAAGATTTCATATATGGTATAGGAAAGAAAAAATCACTTTTACGTATTCATACAAAATACATGGAAAATGATAGTGAAAAAACTTTTTTTCGGTTTGGTCCCGAGGTCAGCTAATCTTTTTCATTTCCTTCTCTCGTGTATTTCTGGATCTAAACACTATATTTTTATATTTCTACTCTTGCTAATTATTATTTTTCACAATATTTTGGCTCATTTAACGGTATCTGCTTCAAAATTTTGATCTTCTTTAATTATTAAAATATTTGCAAAATTGTTTTTCAGCTAACTACCAAGAAAGAAAAGTTTTTCCTTTTGCATAAGTCGACAAACTATCTTAAAATCTTTTTATTGAAACAATTTCTATTAGAATTGAAAATTATTATAAGAAACTCTTCTTCAAATTTTTGAAGCAAACTCCGTCGTTAGCAGGCTTTAAGAGGAACTAAAGGTTCTGTTATTTTTTGGTATTGCTATAGTGGAAACCTTTTAAATTTTCTCTTTGTTTCATGATCAGTTTGGTAGATCAGTAACAAAATCTGATTTTCATTTTTATTTCATTATGTCATATCAGTCGAATGTTTGTGTATTTACTGAGAAAGAGAATTAACGAAAACCAAAGGGCAAGGGATTATGGGTTTAATGGTTTTAATGGGAGGAAAGGGAGGGGAAGCGGATCTGATTAATAGCCTGTTTGGCCAAGTTTTTTTTTTTGGCCAAAAATTGAGGTGTTTGACCACGCTTTTGGAAGGAAAAAAGTGCTTTTGAGGAGAAGCAGAAGCAGTTTTGGAGAAGCAGAAAAAAATAACTTTTCTCCAAAAATACCTTTTTGAGAAGCACTTTTGAGAAAAAAATACACTTAAAAGCAATTTTTTAAAGTTTGGCCAAACACTAATTGCTGCTCAAAAGTGCTTTACAAACTAATTAGCCAAACACAAACTGCTTCTCTCCAAAAGTACTTTTGAGGAAAATATTTTTGGAAAAAAACATTTCTCAAAATAAACTGATTTTTGCAGCTTGGCCAAACGGGCTATAAGTTATGGTTAATATATTGGCCTGAGTTTTTGTATTCAAATGATTGAGTCTTCTATTAATAGTCTACACCTGTCCAGTCTGTTAAAACAAGGGCAACTTTGAAACTTTATCTAACGGTAAGGTATATTCGATCTGATACGAAGGGTATATCGAGATAATAAATAATAGTAGAGGGGTATTTTTAACTCTTCTCCCTTTCTTAAATGATCAGATATTAAATCCAAGAGGCAACGACGGTTGTAGGGTAAGCTCCCAAATATTTGAGGCCCCAAAAATATATAATATATAATTATATATTAGTTAATACAAGATTTCAAAATTTCTGTTTTAAAAATTGGTAGAGATAGGTTTGAAGGTCCACTTTATTTATTTTCATATATATTAAGAAATTCATCTTTTAACATTAGCAACGAAATTGACTATATTGACATTTACTATTTTTTCACATTTTTTTTCATTTTATTTTATATTTGACATAATGTCATTTTGGGTTTAGGATGTGATGATTAGCAACTCCCAGAACTGAAGCAACGGGCATAATTCATTGAAAAATTTATGAGCATCAAAGATTATTTCAAATTTTCAGCAAGATATCTCAATTTGTCATGTAATTTCAATTTAAAAACGTGAGCGAACTATAAAATGGAGCCAAAAAAATTCAACATTTCCTCTCCAGTTTTATTTTAAAAAAATAATAACATGAATTGTAGGAGATGAAATGATTAGCAGATTTTATAACAAGTAGTACGTGGACTACTTGAGAAGTGAAACACGAATATGAGATGGATGGATCCTATTGCATTGCAAAATAAATATAACACATACTCCAATATTATTTACTTCAAGGGAAATTTTGAAAAAAAATTAATTAATTTATTTTTGAAATCTGAAAAAATCAAATATTTTGAATCACAAAAAAGGGCAAAAAATCAGATAAAGTGGACAGAGGGAGTCATATGATAAATATTTTCTCTCATTAAATTAAACAATATATTTACCTTTTTATCAATTTTATTTTTCTTCTATGTATACTTTTTTTCATGTTTCTCGCGATTTTACTTTCTAATTAACTCAGATTCTCTAATTTAGATATTCCTTTTGGCACATTCATACATCAAAAAGCAAGTTTTTTTGTATTTCTTTTTTTAAGTAAAAAAAAATTCAAGGCAAGTGTCCCAAGTTATAAAAAAAAAAAAAAAAAAAACTCGATGAGTAATGCGCTCACCCCTTTATCATTTTCACTTAATACCATATTTTTGTATAGAGGAGAAGTTAATATCATGTCGTGCACCTATCAGAATCATCATGTGTATGTGTTGCGCTCTCACTTTAGGCCTTTTTAGAGTCTTATTATTCTATGGATTTTATGAGAAAAGTTCAAGGGTCTTTTAATATATTTTAATTCTAGCCAGCAATTTCATTGAGACAATTGTCGTATGAACATGTTGTTCAACCAACTTCATTCGCATTTGCTAACTGAATGACACATTCGCTATCTTTAGTATTCTTGTAATTGTTGACTTATTTTAATCGGAACTTTATAAAATTTAATTGAGAATGTTAAGAATGGATGGATGGCTCAAGAGGGATGCTAGTAAAACCTTGATTTAGGCCCTCGAGATTTTGAGGCCCAAAAAAATTTTAATAGTGTTTTTTATTATTTTATTTTTGCTTAGACAATATTAAAATTTGCAGAAAAATAAAAAAGTATATTTTTTTGTAAAAAATAAAAGAAAAAGAGATTGTCTATTATTTAACAGTATAATACTGTAGAACCTTGAATTAAACTATTTTTCTTTTTATATTGGTAAATATAATTTTTTACAACAATAACAAAGGAATTAAATTGTAAATACACGCCTAATATTTTATTTATTTAAATTATCGTTTACTAGTATAAATAATATTATCATTTAAGAATACTATATACAACAAGCACAAAAAATGGTAATAATATATATTTTTGTGTGCATATGTATGTAATGTCATGGACTGCTTTCCAGACATGCCCCATGACCCCTTGACCGCGCCCCATGGCGGCCTAGCAAGTCTCACAATGCCTAGCGCCATGGTCGGCCCCGTGGTCTTGGCTGCGCCAAGTGACAAGCGCGCATGTGCCTCTGTCGCCCCACCGATGCCTCTCGCCAGCGCCCAAGGGCTGGCCAATGACAACAGCATCGCGCGCCCTGACAATGCCGCGCGCGCAGATCCTGATGCCTCGCCAGCGCCCAGCTGCAGGCCCATTCCAGCAGCGCCTCGCGCACAGACCCTGATGCCAAGCACCAGTGCCCAGCCTCAGGCCAGCACATCAAGTGTCGCGCGCGCCCACAGCAACGCGCGCGCAGACCCGCAAGACAAAGATGCTGCCATCGGACTTAGTTTTTCCTTGTAATAATCTAAGTCCTTTTCATTGTAATCATAGACTAGTTTTCATCATTTTCATTTCAGTGTGCTTCTACAGCTTTATTAGGACTAGTCTTGTAATGTTGGTTTATTTTTTTTAAGCATTATTAAGGGGGACCAAACAATCAAACATTTCAATCAGCATTTTCTGGTGTCTCTCCCCCTCGACACCACATCATTGTAATCATCATTTTCAGTCATCAATAAAATCATCATCAGCATTCAAAACCCAATTCTCTCTCAGCTTCCGCAATTGCTCACGACATTGGTTTTCCCGCACGGCACTGACAATCTAGTCTAGCGTGCGGCGAGGACCTCATTGGCGGACATCAACCGCACTGACATCGGTTGCTTAGCCTTACGTTGCCCTTCCAAAGATCATCAGGAAGGCGCTGCGTAACAGTATGTATGCACACATATATGAATTCTAGCATAAGGCATTTTATTAAAAGTTACGTTTAATAAACACGGGTATATGCTTGTTTAATCGCCATTCAAAGGCTATTTTCACAAAAATGGAAACCATAAAGGCATATTATCATAGCAAAAAATGAGTGCCTTCGTTATACTAAATTGTACAAGGCTTAATATGCATTCTGCTGGCGCTGATTGATTCCCTTTTACGTCATACTACAAGATTATCACTTCATCCCAGCGGGATTCCTTGAGTTCCTGGCACTGCCCAGCTCATTCAGGGCTTGGCCAAAAAAGAAATGAAAGCAGAGCAAGACGGCTGCCTTGATATCAATACCTGCAGACACTATAGTTTACTTGGTTAAACTGAGTAACAATAACTAGTATGTGACCTCGTTGACAATATAGATTTCAGAATAAGTAAAGAAACACCACCATATTATGATACTTCTATTGAAACTAAATTATTTCCAGCATATTCACTAAGTATTGTAGCGATTATGAGTAGTAAATTACAATGTACTGAATATATTTCCTTTCGTATAATTCAAATTTATCTTTTTGAATATTTAATCTTCTATAGATTGTATTCTTGAGTCCCCAGCTTAGTTAATATCTCTCATATTTACTAGTTTCTTTTATGTTGTAGTAGAATACCTGATGAATCTATATTATGGCCATCTTTTATGTTTTCTTAATTTATCGCCTTTTAAACTGTAAAATTGTCTAGAGAGTTTTGCCAAGTCTAATAAAAGTACATATGTTATTGCATTTACTTCTACTAGTGACTTTTACAGGATATTTTATAAATAAAAAAAATTACCGAACCATACCGATAACGAAGAGAAACCGGCATAATTGGGACGATTTCAAAAAATCTAATTTTGATCATATATAATAAAATAACCGAAAAATTGGTATGATATAAATTTTATAAAATAATCGCCCGAACCGAAATATTGACACCCCTGCTCCCAACCTCATGGTTGAAACTAAGCGCTCTTGCCAGTAGAGCAACCTCACTTAATAACATAGAAACACAGAAAGTTGCATATGAGCATATGATTTGAATGCTTCGAAGTCTTCTTCGGTTCATCCGAAATACACATACATTATTTAAGATCTGCATGGTTTGAGAAAGCAGGATTTTGGTTGCATAGTGAGCTATGACAAATATATTTGGTCTACTTGGGCAGATTGGGTTATGACACGCTTCTCAGCCCTTTCTAAACCAACCCATCTTGACCCAAGCAAACTATGGGCGGCTTGGGACGTTAACCCAACCTGCTTATTTGACACCTCTAATTAAAGTGAAAGATGAGAGTTTCACTCTTGTTACAATGGTAACTCGCCATGCCTTTTTTTGTCTTTTGAGCTTCATTTACTACTACTAAATTCTTATTGTTTTCTCAGTCTAACTAGGATCAGCCTTGACTGAAAGAACACGACAATAAAGAGGCCTAATAGCTGTGCTAATGCCTAATCCATTGCATCAGAACTAATGGCTGGGAACATAATAAATCCCGAGTATTAAACGGGTAGTGGCTCTCTTCTAAGTATTCCTCCCATTTCCATCCTCCAAGATTGATCGACCAAAGATGCCAACTCCCTGTAGATCACCATCAATGCGGCTATTAGAGAAGGAACTAAAGTTTCAAATAAAATAGGAACATACAGAATTTCACCGCCAGCTATGTGTAGTTAAAAATTAATCAAAAACCACGATGAATTGCTAGGGAAACAAAAGGAGTACCAGAAACAAAATGATGATTTATTGTCTTCCAATTAAATACCCTTGTGCGAATATGCTCAAGTTGAGAGTTGAATGCAATTCTACCTCACCTATGAAAAATAGTGGCCACCCCTAGTTTTTTGTATCCTTCAAGGAAACAAGATACGCAATTTGAAATGAAGAGACTAAAAGTTAAGTGAAAATTTCTTTATATGACACTTGATATTATCATTATAGCACAACCATATGTGGCAACCGGAGCGGCAAAGGTAGTAGATGCGGGATGTGTGGTAGGTGCAAATCACGAGTTCGAATGTTGATTGGCAAACAAGTCTGATATTTTAAGTGGAGAAGTGTAGAAGAAAGATTTTTGATCAAGTGAGTGGAATTTTATATGTGGCATCCAGAAGATGCAAGAAATACAAAAGAGAATACATAAAAGACAGTCAGCTATGAATAAAAAAGAGCTAAGCAAGAACTAAAGAGCTGACAAAATAAATCAAAACTTCATATGACAGTCAATAGGAGTAGAAGAAAGATTTCGAAGCGAAACAACGGATCTCTCGGTTATCAAGAAGCAAAAAGGGACAGGAAGTTCCAGAGTCAATATGTATGGATAAATGACTTCATCCACGGCTTCACCAGAAAATGTCAACTAATTTCTTGATATCACTGCCAACCTCGAGTGAACAATGCTAGACATCTAGCATGGTGATACATTTCCAATAAAATAACGTATGTAAACAAAAACATCAAATGGACCAAATCACGAACTTACTTGAGGTCATGGCTGACAACAAGTAAAGTTAGCTCCTTCTTTAGATTCTTTAACAATTTCGCCACATCTGCACGAGCCTTCCAATCTGATTTCCCTCATAAAATATACACTTTTTCAGACACTGGGGTTAGCTATTCAAATAGGAGTACAATTTAAAGTTGCGTCCAAAATACGAAAATAAGGTATCCATTTAATAACATCCAAGGTCTACAGTAATCCAAACAGAAGTTATTTATAGTTAAAAGCAAGTAAAAGAACATGACGATGCTAGCAAATCACATCAAACAAAAGAGATCAGTACAATTAAGTTTTCCGATCTCTATGGAAATAGCATCACTCCATAAAACATTCCTCCTGATCTGCACCACAAGCAAGCTTCATACCATTTTATCCAACATGCAACCCGAACTGAGGTACGATCCAATCTGGCAAGCTCTTGAACTCCGCTTGCACCACCCATACCAAATAATTAATACAATAAATTTCCAGATTACCTCTTGTAATCATATTAGCAAAAGCAAATATGAGAGCTGGTATGAAGATAGTGGCAAGAGTGTTTTAAAACAACAATCTTTCTTTACATCGATGTTACCATTTGGAGAATAAGAACACATAACCCAACAAGGAATTCTAAGCTTATACTTAAGAGAAAAAATGCTTTTCAGTGAAGCCAAAGAAGAGCTCCTCTAAAACAGATGTAGAGATACCACCTGGTTGCAGCCTAAAATAGAATTAGAGATACCACCTGTGAAGCCATTAGTTTTTAGAGAATTAGAGAATGCAGCCTAAAATAGAACCTTAATGTTCTATGACAGAAAGATTTAAAATAATTTCTACGTTCTTCAAAAAGTAAAAGTAAGTAACATACACATGATTCTTTTCTTTAGATTACTATAGCTAATTACTATTTACTAGTAAGAATTCAAAATCTTGGTGCTTTAGACAATTTATAACAAGTTAGAACTTTTGTGAGTTTGGATTACTGAGATTACAGAATACGAAGATCCAGACTTTAACAATCATGGTGGGACGAAAGACTGATCTTCAAAAATATCAAATGTAAAATCCTTGTGCAGTCATCTCAATTCCTACTATTTCCTTTCAAATTTAACCTAGAAATCTCAACTATTCATGTTCCATTAAACCAGCACTTTCGTGACCCAAGCATACATACGTAGGAGAATCACCAACTAATGGATAACATCCGCTCAGGGAAAAATATACAAATGGGAAGAAAAATACTAGCCCAAAGAACAAAATGAAATAGATCACAGCAGTGAGCTTCTTCATACCGAGACCAGCAAGAGGCTCATCCAATATTAATAAATTTGGTGTTTGAACCTGTGTAAAGAGAAATATTATATTAATAGACAGATGATCACCCAAGATATCAACAATATTTTGTCACACAAATGGGCATATGCATGTTCACATAAATGCACATAAACGGAATACAAGTACTTCCAGTTTTTCATAATGAGAAATCCTTACTAACTGAATAGCAAGGGCAAGCCGACGTTTGTAGCCACCGCTTAATGAGTGGGGATCCTTGTCCAAAGACATTCCTGTTAGACCAACCTAGGAGTTGTCAACCACATAAAAGCCTGTCATAATTTGCTGAAACGCGAACGAACTTTTCTCCTTTGAAAGACAAATTTAAAAGACAGTTTAAATCGCACTAAAGGAATATGTACCGAGGTAATGGCCTTTTGAAGTCTCGATGCAAGAAGCTCTCTTAATTGAAGGCCACCCTTTTGTCTTGGCCACCCAAATGTAACTTCATCAAGAACTGTGTCAGCAACAAAGTATCTGTAAGACAGTGACACAAACAAAATCAAGTTGAATAAACTGCTATTGGAAACAAAAAGAACTTCTTAAACTTTACGTAGCTACCTAACCATGCAATACTCACTTTACCAATATGCATGCTAATAGATAAATCTATATACTTATGTACATAATACCAGAATTGAAGAGTAACGAAATAGAGTTTAAATAATTGCATTGCTAACTGGAGGGGTTTGTTGTTTTCTCAATAAAAACAGCAAATGAAAATGCATTATGTTCAATATGAACCTATTCATGAAAATCCCATTGTATCACAAAGAACATCCTGACAGAGCATGAAACACCACCAACCAAGAAATGAGTACCTCTCAGGAAACTGGAAAACAATGCCAACTCTTTCGGGTTGTAAGGGTTCAGGAGACTTAATCTTTTCACCATCATCACTATATCGCTGCACACATATGGAACCTGACGTTGGTTTGCTTAACCCTGCAAGCAGCTGCATTGAGAAGGTTAAAGATAAAAAGCAGCCTGAATAAAGTACCTTTCGTTGGTTGGACAAGAGAAAGGATAAAATGAATTTGAATAGAAAAGACAAAATCAAAAGGAAGACCTGCAATAAAGTAGTTTTTCCACTGCCACTGCGTCCAAATATCAAGCCAAAACTACAAAAAAAACCATGTCAGATCCTCTCTTCCACACAGAGCCTCTTTAAAATGAATATCAGTATTTGAGATACTAGTTGATTAGCAGCGACATTGTTCCATAGACAGCTTCATATGTTTTTACAGATCTTACTGAACAGCTAAAACATTTGAAAATCTTATGAGATGCTGGATTTCTGATCTCATTTGTGCTTCCATCCAATCAAGAAATAGACAAAATAATCCCTCGTTAGCTCTAAACCAGGATTTGACAAGATGACAAAGGAAATTTATGACAGTAATGGTATGTATTGCATTTGAATTATAGCAACACAGACTGTACCTTTTCTCAGGAATTGAAAGATTGACTTGACTCAATAGGTTGATCTTGGTCCCTGGAGGTCGATAAGACACATCCCTTATCTCCAAAAATCCATAAAAAGGAAAAGGGTCGAACACCTATTATTAGCACCTCCACAATACAACCGCAATATCTTAACTAATCTCTGGACAACCAAAATAGATCAATTAAAAAGAGAAAAATGAATTCAAGCTCAGCAGGCTTCATCCCTGGTTAATTAAGATGGCACTAGAGTTATTTGGAATACCGTTTTCTAATACTTATAACCCTCTAGGAGTCTACAAACAACAACTACTACTACGCCTCAATCCAAAACGAGTTCGGATTGGTTATATCAATCCTCACTAACCATGTTTCTCCGTTTAAAATCATCTCAGGCCGACATTATACAAAATTAAAATAAACGTGAAAAGTACACCACTAGGAGTATAGGATACTTAAAAAGATATATCATTAAAAGAAAAAAGAAATATCATTGGGAATTCAATAAAAAGTTGCTGAATGACTTGTTGGTTTAAATGGTGTATATGCTACAGAATAAGGTCCACCTACCTAAGTAACATAACATTTTTTGCCGCCACCACAAAAAAGAAAAGGAAGCCTACTATACATCTAAATCCCAAATATGGGGAAGCAAAACATGTTAAAGAACTCTGCAGGAATTATTTAAATAATACAAAATATATAAAGAAAAGAGCTTTACTTCGAAACAGGAGTAATCGCAGGAAATGGAGAGTGCTTGCGCCTTTCTGAAATAGAAATGAGAAAGTTAAACTTCCCAAATGTAAAATTAATATGGCAAGAATCGGAGAAAAACGAAAAAAAAGAAAAAGGAACAAGACTTGCCTAAAGCGCATGAGAGGATAAAAAATTGTGGATGATGGTCTTCCCGAAATGGAAGAGGAACTGGAAATCAGTAGAGACGACGACGACGAGGGAAGTGGAAAGCTTCCCATCTTTCTTCTGATTTCTGGAGCTATGGAACCAAATATAATCTAGTGAGAAGTGCTCGAATAGGCACAATTTAAAATATAATCGAAATTTATATAGATTATTTAAATTTTATCCTATTCAGAGTTAAATTTCAGACCTCGAGGATAATGTTTTAAGAGTCTGTTTGGTGGAAAACTGCTTATTTTAAAAATTATTATTTTAGAAATACTTTTTCTAAAAGTATTTTTAAAAATAAGTTGTATTTTACCAATTCACTTAAGAAGTACTTTTTTAAAGTACTTTTTTAAGAAGTACTTTTTTAAAAATAAGTTGTATTTTGCCAAAATAAGTTGTCCAATCATACTTCGGGATATAAGGCATTTAAACTTTTTTGGAATAGGCAAAGGAGCGGCACTTGGCTTCTAGGGTTGTTGAGAATATTCATCCATATCCACTCCTTTGATTATAGGTAGAACACTAGGTGTCGCGCCCTCTTTTTTCCTCCCCTTTTTTGAGACGGGAAGAAGTCTGGGTTTCGACATTCACGAGGTGTAATGATTCATTTCCTTTTGGGAATTGGGTATTTGAAGAGTCGTCACCTAACGGATTATGGTGCGTTAAGGGTACCTAGAGCGATTAACTCTTGTGTTGGTTTGCATTACCAGAGATTAGGGTAAGGGCTCGAAGTAACCTCGAGGGGAAGGTGTTAGGCACCCCTCTTGGTCCACAACTATGGGTCCCGGCCGAACTTCTATTTACAAATTAGTCCATATAAACAGTTAAATTAAACAAGTTGCAAGTAAAACACATGGGATAATTCAAGTAGTAAGATAAAGGTTTGATCAAGTTGTAAAACAAAGATTTCAATAAAGAAAGGATTTAGTAAAGAGGGGTCCTAGGTTGGTTATCCTATAGGGTCACCACACGCAATGTCCGGTAAACACTCCTCAATGAGGGGCTACACGTGACATTAACGCGTAGTCATCATATCTCATGTCTACCCTTCACATCCCTTATTGGTCATGCAAAGCGAGTGTTTGATCAATGATTCCTATTACGTGCTGCTACCCATCCCTTCTTAATGGTCCTGGAGGGAGTTAGGACCTCTACCTATAGGTGATTCTAGATGTACCCCTAAGGTTTTAAAAGGCGAAAATTCTAAGGCGACAATCAAAAGCATTTAGGACTTTCACACATAATGAGAGCAATTAAGAGGCTCAAAGTTTCCTCCTCAAACAAACACACAAGCAGCACGACTCAAGCACAGTTAAGGTCTTTTATTAAACAATGTCCTAAAGCAGGATATCTAAGTGAATATGCAGAAACAGACAACCCCTTTTTAGACTCAGAAGTTACACCCTAGTGGTTGCTTAGGGACTTTTTTAAAAGCATGTTAGGATCAGAAACGTTAAGTAACATGGACAGTTTCAGAGAAATGCAATTTTGAAAACGCCCTAAAGGCTTGCCTATATGCAAAATACTGGTGTCTATGCAGAAACAAATAGATTTTGAAATAGACTCCTTCAATACCTATAGGCATGATATCTAATGAGATTGAGGCAGTTTTGAAAGAACTTGTTTCAGGAAATGCTTAATGCTTAATAAGACCAATTTAAAAATGAACTAGGCGTAATGAAGTTGATTTATTAGACTAAGTTAAATTAACAGACATAATTGTGAGTAGGGCTTCCTATAGGCATGATATCTAGGCGGATTACTGATTTTAATCGATTTGCAGGTATAGCAACATACAGAAATACTCGTTATAACTGAATTCCTATAGGCATGGCATCTATTATTGAACTGATTTAAGACATGATTGTTTAGGACCCTATGTGCATGGTTTCTAAACATGACTGAATGTAAAACCTTATATGCATGGTTTCTACTTGATGAGTAAACAACCTTTAAAAGTATAAGCCCTATGGACATAATTTCTATTAGGTAAAGCAAACAGATTAAAGAGTAAAGTCTTATGAGCATGTTTTCTACTTAGGCAAACAATCAGACTTTAAAAGTAAGGTCCTAAGAGTAGGATTTCTACCCGTATTACCCCAAAAAGTATGCATCTACCCACCCTTTTTACTAAATACTTCAATATTTGTTTATAAATTATTACAGGCTAATGAATAAATTACATAAGTAAAAATAGAAAATCAAGAAGCTATTCTATAGGGATCCTTCGATTAGGCCCAAGTTTCAAAGCCTCCAATGGTCTCACAAGCCTCAATTCCATAGCCAAATCAGAGTCTAGGTGCATCAAAGTTCCCTAAGGATCTCAAGGATCCCGGGCAGTGCTTACACCTAGACTTAGTAACCAAAGATTGAACAAGTGCAGTGTGGAAAGGCCAGCCTCAGTATGCCAGAGTTCAGAGGATTCTCAAAAGGATCCCAAGGTAGTACACATACTAGATGGGGCAGAACTTATGACTACGAGTAGAGTGAGAAGTGATGGCCACAAGTTGAAAAGGTTTTAGAAGAAACTGCATTTAACCAAAGTCTTTTCCTTTGAAAATAATGTAGTAAAACAATCAGAGACTTGTTTGAAGATATGAACAGAAGTTAAAACACCTTAGGACAGGTTTACACATAGCTGGTTCACAGAACCAAGTAAATTCAGTAATCACACACACGGGTCAAGGGGTTTGGGACACATAGAGCATTTGACTGCAAACACATAACCCAGCAAGGGTCTAGGACTGGTTTAGTCATGCTCAGAAATAGGTGACATTGGCATAGTCACAAAACAAGTCCTAAAAGACACAACCACATAGAGGGGTGATAGGGATTTGGAAATTCATGGGATATAGGATAGTAAGTACGCAACAAGTAGGAGATAAGACATGCTCAGAAACACACATAGAGGGGGAATACACTGATCTAAAGGAAGGGGAAGACACAATATCATGTTGATAATGTACTCTTAACTACAAATTTTCCAACAGAACCACAAATAGAAGCAAACTAGAAATAAGAGAAATTGAAATAATAAGAGAAGCATGTTGTTGTTAGAACTTTGAATTGAAACTAGGACATACCAGTGAAGAGGAGAGTAAGTAGAATGAAAAGAACAAGAGAGAGCACAAATGGTTAACCTTGGCTTGCAGCCGGCTAACAGTAGCAAATAGCACAATAGAGAGCAGAAATGTTTAGTGTGAGAGATAGTTTTTGGACCCAAGTGTTCGTGTCCTGTGTTAATGAAAGACTGGAGTTTTTATAGTTGAAAACAGGTAGTAAAATAAGGTAAGAATCATAGTAGCATGGTAATTAAGGAACTCAGAATCAGTCAGTCAGAAATCAAGGCAAGTACTCCTTAAGTTAAAGGAGTTAACTCAAATGGTAATAACCAGTATATAAGGCAAGACAGATAAATACATGATTAATAGGGAAAGGATCAAAATTCAGTAAGCATAGAGTAGTCAATTAGGACTAAGTTCAGCAAATTCCAATTAAGAAAAGGTTTCAGTCAGAATAAAATACCACAACAAATAAGGTACAGAATCATTCAATTTAAATAGACGAGGTAGAATTTTAGGGTTTCAAAAGAAATCTTTTAATCAAACCATCAGTTAAGGAAATCAGAATCAATCAAGAGAGTTATGATTCTATACCTCAACATATAAATAGAGAAGGACAAACAGACATAGAAAACATGCAAGGTCAGCAATATTGATAGAAAGAGGCAAGAGATGAACAAATCAAGATGAATATATCACACAGAGGTGATACAAGTAGACTAAGGACTCAATAAAATCCATTCGAAGCATGGTAACCAACAGAAACTTAACAAGAGTCGAGTAGTTATGCTAACACACAGAATCAAAACAAAGAAGATCTAAAAATTAGGGCTTTTAACATAGGCGAGTTAAAAAACAGTAAGAACAAAGAATCAGTCAAGATATGTGAGGAAAGAGGTTTAAACATAAAGAGAAATCAATTTAAACAAGTGTAGAAGAAACTCTGAGAAACCCTAACTTTAAAGAAAGTAAAAACGGCTTAGTGTTGTTGATTTTTCAAAAGAAGTTTGAGAATAGTGTAAAACATAGAAAGAAACAGACTTAAATCGTTAAAAGGGGCACATATCTGAGAGATACAAATGAAAGTTAGGGTTTCGAAGGAAACCCAAATAGAAACGGAAGAACCTGCTATAAACTTCAAAGATCGTAACATATATGGTGTGATTTTGCCCAAAATCACACCAGAGAAGCCATGAACAACCAAACCAGAAATCGTAGATACAAATCGGCATGCCCCAGGGCCCTTGAAGGCCTCAGAGATGATGAGCAAGACGATGGAGGAACCATTGGAGGCTTGGGGTTGAAAGGTGGTCACTGGAGATGATCGGAGAAGGAGGCGGCGATTGAAGGGGATTAGGGTTAGGTTGAGAGAAGAGAGGAGATGAGAGAGTTTGAGGGCGGCGGAATCTCAGAAATGAGATAGGGTTAGTGGTCTTTAGGATTAAAAAAGGAAAGGGCTCGTTTGGACCGTTGATCTGGGAGATCAACGGTCAGGATTTGACCAAGTATATGGGTTCCGGGTTTGGGCAGGAGTTTATAAGGTCTGGGTCGGGTTAATTGGGTAGGAAATTGGGCTGGGGTTGGGTTAAAATTAGGCTAGAATTGAAAGCCAAATCTGGCTATGATTTAAATAGCCACTTTTCCTTATTTTAATTTATAATAAATAATAAATAGTTTTCTGAAAATAATTTTTCTATACCAAAATGATTTAAAATATATAATTATCATTTTAAAAATATAGGGACCAATTTCACGCCTATAAAATATAATTATACATTAAAATGGGTTAACATTGCAATTATACGCAATTTAACTTAAAAAATACTAAATGTAATTATAAAAATGCATGAAAAACATATTAGCCATATTTTGGCATAAGTATAGAAATTAAAATAAATAATCCTAACAATAATTTTGTAAATAATTATTGGGGATTTTATGAATAAAAAGGGAGAAAATAAATCAATTTAAACCCGTAAAATTATGAAAAAATTATAAAAACCTTGTGCATACTTATATATGCATATATATGCTATTTTAAAGGTATTTATGCATATAAAAAATATATAGG